TAGAACTGAAGCATAAAAATTATAGTCAGAAATAAGCTTTCGTGAACTACAGCTCACTTCATCAGATGCAATGCTCAAATCAATTGGTTAGTCTCTACGGTGCCACAAGTCCTCCTTTTCTTTTTGCGAATACAGACTAACACGGCTGCTCCTCTGAAACCAGTCAGAAATAGGAATCTCAGAGCCCTGCAGAGCTTTGTGAAGGAGCTAACACAGACACAGCTCTTGAGAGCCAGACTTGGAAATTAACCAGCAGTGTCTCCGTTCTCTAGCTCATGATAAATCTCATGTAGGGGTTTTCAGGCATCTTCACTAATTCCTAAATAGGAACAGGGGTGTGTTGTATTTGTCAATCTCACCCCTCTCCCCTTGCACAAAGCAGGGAAAGTGACTTTAAATTACAACTCTCATGTGTGATTTGCTGTAGGATGCCGGTGCCCAAAATCTGAGCCCTAGGCCCTAGTTGTCCCTGATGTGCAAAGATCAGAGGATGCTCCAAGGACTCTTTTGTCCCCGCCTGCACTCCCTACACAAAATCTAGGAGCAACAGCACTTTGCCTGTCGGATGGGAAATCTAGGCACAACCGTCAGACCCTGTGGCACCTCTCTGTAATTAGAGCTTGATTTTGTTTAGACCACTTGAATCTTTGGTTGGTTGGGCATTTCACACAGACCATCCTGCAGGTGAGAGGACCTGCAAGCTCTAAGAAAGGGCACGAGGGGCTGGGATGAACTCACGCCACCCAGCGTTCGGGTCTAAATAGCACAAGCCAAAGAGAAGTGTTGTTTGGAGGGTTGGTGTCCAACAGAGGCACAGACAACACTTCAAGGCCATGGGTCCGAAGAGTCAAGTGCGAAGGGTTAAGGTGGCATGTTAGGCTGTCACTCTGGGTTGGTGATGGACACAAAAAAATACACGGCACGTGCAATGGACTTGAATTAAAGTTGCTGACCAAACCTTACATTTCTGGAATTTCCTGACTATTGAGTGCTCAGTCTTGCCAGGATGGCATCACGGTACTGCTAATTTGTTTCATTAATGTGCAAGCGAGTATGAATCTGGGTGTCTTCCTCAAGTGACGGTGGATTCAATAAAAACAACAAGCAGTCCGGTGGCACCTTAAAGACTAACAGATTTATTTGGGCATAAGCTTTTATGGGTGAAAAACCACTTCTTCAGATGCACTTCTTAGAACAGAGGGAGTAATAATGTATCCAATGTATTTTGCCTCTTTTGCTCTTCCCCTGTTGTCCAGGAGCTGATTATGACTTTCTTGAATTTATTTGCAATTGTTTGCCAAATGTCTGTGAAGTTCTGTAACTTATTCTCTGACTGTTGTTCACTCTGTATTTAATATTTCACATTCAAAATGTAAGCTGTTTTGGACACAGAGATGATGTGGCATTGTGTCCGTTTCCTGACTGGCAGAGCGTCCCTCTTAGAATCAGTGTGAGTGCTCAGGAGGGTGAATTCACAATTTGGGATTAAGTATTTGCTTAAAATTGGCCACAGTCTCATTTGCTAGACTATTCACCGAGAGCAAAGACAGAAGGGACGTGAACACAATTGAAACAAATTTACTTAAGAATTTGAATGGATATTTGCAGAATCATTTTGGGCAAAACTAAAACTTAGCCTGGTGCCAGCTGAAACGACAGCCCTGCATTGCACACCCCAGCATTCAGAAAGGAAACTTTCTACCCTTACATGTGTTAATTGTGAAGCTCTTGTAACCATCTCTAAAGCGGGGGTGGAATCAAGATGTTGGGAGCTGGCTGTGCAGAGGTCACCAGCTTGAAGTGAGAGTAGCCAATGCTGTACGCTGACTTACATAAGATATCCAGAGCCACTGCCCATAGAGTGAGACAAAGACAAAATGTAAGGTTGTTAGAAATGATAATAATAGTCTGGATTAACTCCCAGTTACTGCCAGGCAGTCACCTTTAAATAATGAGTTTATACATCATTCAGTCTGAATTGACAGCTACTCCTTTATTAACTATAGTTCTTATTTAATAATACTGTAGTGTTTTTTAATAATAGTTAATTAGGCCCAGATCCACTGCAGGATATTCCATTAAACTCAATGGCCGTTAGGAGTCTAACTAGCTTTGTGGAGTTGGGCCTTACTGTATATGTAGTGGCAGCACGTGGGACTTTATGGATAATTACCCACATCATAAACCTCAGTCCAATCAATGGGCAAGATCCTCCCCGGCCCCACGTACCTGCACAGGCAGGCTCAGGGGCTGTAAGAGGTCTCCTGTGTGGGCTGCATATCTGGTGGCTTCCGTTGTGGAGAGTAGCCTTAGCAGGGTGACTACTCCGCCTCTTCTGTGGGTGGGTGAGGAGTGGGCAGGCTGCGGTGGAAATAGGTGGATACTTGGCTCTTGTCTTTCCACATACCAGCCAGCATCTAAACCAGCAGTGGGTAACGTTAGCTCTGAAGCAAAGGAGGAGCCATGGAGAGAATAGTGACTCAGAGGCACCTCTTTCCCTCCCTGCTATGCTCCTGGCGACATGCCACCCCGACACAGGACAGACCGCAGAGTGACGGTCTCGCACTACACGACAGATATGGTACCTGGTGCACCAACAGCCAGGACTCATGGAACACAAGCGGCTGAAAGCCCCAGGGGAGCCCACAGGATTGTGTTCAATAAATTTGCCAGACGTATGTTTGCAGCTGGGCTTTGCAGATGCATTGAGGCTAATTTTGGTTCTGCCCCAATGGGAGGAAGGTTACGTGCCCGACTCTTTGTAGGATCAGGCCCAGAACTGGGGAAATCCTGAGGCCTGCGGAAGACCCATAATATGGCAGAGAGGCTGCAGTTCTGCTGCATGGGAGGCCAGGCTAGGGAGGGGCTATCCAGAGGGACTCTAGCTATTTCTGAGCTGATCCTCACAGGGCCCCACTCTACATGGAAGCCGGGTGGGGGCGGGGAGGCCGGTGGCATGGGCATTGGTCTCAGGGCTGAGTCTCTTTTAACTGAATGGATAGTAATTTCTGCATGTCTATCTCTGGGTTACTTTGCTGCCAGCTTCAAGTACTCCCATATATATTGAATCTAACCTTACTCCACTTGTCGTCCTTGTGGAGTTTTGCCTTTGATTCTAATGGGACCAGGATTTCATCTGTTAGGTTAAATGGGAACACTCATAGGGCTTAAAGTAAAGCATGTCCTTGAATCCTTTGCTGGACTGGGACTGGACTGCTCAGCACCTTGCAGGATCAAGCCATCTGTGAGCAGTCTTACTGAAATCAATTGTTATTGTGAAATCAATGGGATTGCTCAGGGGGTAAGGTAGTCCTCGTTGGGTCTAGACTTCAGTGGGACCAGAATTCCACCCATTGTAGATAAAGGTATCAGGAGCTGACCCTAAACGTTTTAGGACAGAAATGAGTTTGTACTTTGGGGCAGCAGCCAAAGAAGCCCACTACAAACTTGAAACTGAGTCCCTGTGCAATGGTGTCCCGGGGTCCACTTAGGATCATACAACCATAGACATAAGGCTGGGAGGGATGTCAAGAGGTCGTCAAATCCATCCCCCCATGCTGGGGCAGGATGAAGTATGCTTCGACCATCCCTGTGTTTGTCTAACCTGTTCTAAATGTGTTTCAAGTGACCCTGAAGCCAAGCTCAAAACAAAAGTAAAATCAGAATCTTTGAACTTAAAAAAATTACTTTTATTTTAGGAACCAATAAAATTATGGTAAATATTTACAAATAATTATCTCACATAAAGGTTACATAAACTCAAATGTCCACAAGTAACAGCCACTCTCATGAAAAGACACACGGATATTGAAACTACGCCAATCTTATTGCATGTTTCTTCAACTAATCTAAAAAATAAAAGTGTTGCAGTCAACCATTTAACTTAGAATAAAATCACAAATTCCAGTACTGACAAGAAAAAGAATGGAAAAACAAATCCGAACAAAAAAATAAACCTCAAAAACGCCCCCCCCTTTCGTCCAATACCTCATTCCCCCCCATTCCCATCCCACCTCCCCCATCAGTACCCAAAATAACCCCCAAACCAAAAACCCCAAAATATGTTCGACATCTTTGGCAAATTGGCACTGCTGTAATTACATTCAAATATTATAACACACAAAAGCAACACACAGCACTAAGGAAAAAACACCAAGATTTCAAGTCAGTTCTTTTCCTACTAGAAAAAAAGAATACAAAACATACACATTTTAAGAAGCGTTTTTTTTCTGTGTGGAGACAGACATCTCCTACTTTCAAAGGCAATTAAATTGTTATTTTAGGGGGGTGGGGTTGTTAGTTTTTTTTTTTTTTCTTGCTTGTATGTTTTTTCAGTTTTTATTTTATTTTAACAAGTAAGCTTCTATGCAGGCATCACAGACTTTGGTGGATACAATAGATATGCATTCCTTTGATGCTGTAAGTCCCGAATACAAAGTAGTCTGTCTCTAAGAAAAAACATACTGTGGTTTTTCTTGGAAAGGAATTCCATTTGCAATATAACGCATTTCTGTAATTTCAGAACGTACAAAGGCCACTAGAAAGTGAAAAACCAGGACAAAGATTCTTCCAATACGAGGCTGAGAAAAGCAAAAGAAATAGCTAAATAAATGCCCATTGGCCATTTCCCTGTCTCCTTTTACAAGGCAGAGTGGAAAAGTCTGGAAACTTCAGGCCTAATACAGTGCCCACTGGAATACAATGCCCACTGCCCACAATGACCCAATGGAAAGAAAATTTCCAGTGATTTCAATAGACTCTGGATCAGCCCCATAGTGATACATGAAGATACACAGATTGTGGAAACAAATGTACACTCTCTCTCTCTGTAAAAGTGTCCCGTAAAACACTGGCCCTCTGGCTCTTATTCTGAAGCACCGTACATGCATTTGTCTTTGCAGAGGACTAATAAGCAAAGATCACAGCAAGAGCTGACAACTGAGCCAGCGGAGACTCAAACGTGAGTATTTCTGGTGTCAAGCATGTCTTTGATGGTGTACTTCATTTGGTGTTGCTGTGTCAAGTTGTATTAACTACAGCAGCAAAGCTATGTACTCAGTGCTTTTGATTTTAATTCCACCTTTGTGGAAGATTGTGTTAGAGGGCTGTTCATGTGTGACTTTCTAGGATCAGCCCTAAAGAACTCAGCGGAGTCTGTCAGCACAGGCAGTCTCCAGTTCACCTGTGTGCTCTGCCATGGAATCGGGGGTGCTGGCTGAAGCAGCTTGTGTTTCCATGCTGATTTTGGTGCAATGCAATGGAGACTAAGGGCCTGATCCTGGGACATGCTGAGCATGCCAATCAATGGGAACTGAGGCCTTATGATAACACATCTGTAATTACACTGACTGAGCTGAACCTCTGGAAACTGACCCTAAGCAAATTCAGTGTCCTCTAGACAGCTCTCTATTTTAATGTCCCATTTATGGTCATATTCTTACAGAATTTTTCTAAGCATCTCCTTGACACTGGTTGATTTGGGTCTTGTCTCATGTTCTCTGTTGATTTGGGTGTGGAACAGCATTGTCTCTGTCCTCTCGTAATGACATCACTGCTCACTCATTCTCCACAACTCTGCCCTCCTCCTCTACCTTTCAAGACCCAAAAGGTTTGCTAATTGGAGGGGAGCCCATGTAGACAAAAGCTACCTGGGTGACCCCAGGGTGGGAGTGTGGAGGAGCAATGGGAAGCCAAGTTAGAGGATGGTGGGAGGAAAAGAGGGAAGGATGGATGAAACATCAAAAGAATTGGGTGAGCTTCAGATAAGCATCCACACTTCATAGGGCTTATCAAACCAGAGCCAAACCTCCAAACCTTTTGAGATTCACCCATCACTATCATATAGATGTACAGTACATTGCACATACACACTGCGCCCCCATGATCAAGTACCAAGATAGCCCTCTCGCTGATCTCAGATCACTATTCTTAGTTGCATAAGCGTATTAGAAAGCAACCAGGAATGACCCAAGCGCTCGGTGGGCCAAGCCTTGCACACCTTATAAAAACTGCATGGGGAGAGGAATGTGGGTTCTTATCAACACTTCATTATTGGCACCGGGGCTATGCTAATATCCAGACAGACACATTTCCAGATCCTCAGCTAGGATGAATCAACCAAAGTCAGTGGAACTAGGCGGATTTATACCAGCTGAGCAGTTTGCCAATCCCCACATGTAGTTTAAAAAACTGCTTTGTAACGTGGATGCGATTTCTGGGATGCATCTAGCTGCCTTGTTCAGTTCCCAACTGCAAAATAATAATAATAATAATCCACTCCATGCTCAGTATGTTCAGGAGGCACCTCAGATCTCCACTGGAATTCCAGAGTCACTCCAGGAATCAGGGCACCAGTCAGATGGTAACACTCATTACAATATGTTTTGTGACAGTCTGGGTTCTAATGGGGGTGAAAGGGGTGTGTGTGTGTGTGTGTGGCACACGCAGCATGGTATACGCATGTGCATCTATCACACACACTTGGATCAACTGTTTGTTAATTCATTTCTGAGTGATGCAAAGACAGCCAAGTGATTTGTCTAGTGTGAGCGACTGCCCATGGTGGCGAGCCGTGGTTCATACAAGCAGGGGATAATACAACATAGTCCTAAGTGAAGCTTAGAAAATGAATGGTGGGAACATGGCACCAACAAAGTGGACAGTAGGCGTATGGATAAAGAATTGCAGGAGGTACCTTTGATGATGCCCAGACAACCATCTACTGTCAGGTTCAAATTCTCAAAGAAACCTAAAGGATTTGATTTCCCATTAAGATGAATGGGAACGGGGTGTCCAGATCTTCCAGGAGGTTTTGAAAATCCCTTCCTTAATACCAGCCAATAGTGGTCATGAACTTGTTTTCTCTGAGGAGGGTGTGCACAGGTTATGGGCTAGATCATGCTTACTTGATGCATGTGAGAAATAGTCCCACTGGATTTAAATGGACTACTTAACTGACTAAGGCAAGCAGGGTTTAGCCATGTGTATCTCAGTGTGTTGTATAGGCTGAGGCACATCCACAGGATGAAATTTACCAATCATGCTCGTGGCATACCTTTCTTTTGTCATTAGCATAACTAAAAATGTTTCCTTACTGAGCATGTTCATGCCAGAGTCCAGCCGCCTAATATCTACTCTTCTCTCAAAATCGACACTAGTCTAAATGTTCCAAGACACTTCACTCCTATGAAATACATACACCACACGTCTGCCAGGTAATGCATCCAGTGGGTGAAACTCACCCCAAAGCAGAGAGCCAACCCGAGGTCTAGGCACCACTTACACCCTCAAAATATAGCTCAAACGGGACTTGTAGTCCTCAGGCTGACGCTCTGTACAGGGAGGAATTTAATCCATGGTGCATATTTTTCTTTTCCTTCATCACTCTATTTATGACAATCTGTTCCATCTTGTATTTAGCAGTGACACTCTGAGTTAGTTTCCCAGACCTGAAGAAGAGCTCTGGGAGGCTCAAAAGCTTGTCTGTCTAACCAGCAGAAGTTGGTCCAGTAAAAGATACTACCTCCTTGTCTTTCTAATTTCCTAGAACCAACACAGCTGCACGATCACTATTTAACTTAGAAGAGGAGCAACCAGTCCCATGTAACCTGGTTACTGTAAAGAGAGGAAAAAAACTTGTAAGCCTCCTATCTGGTCATGACATTTCTCTAGACATACACCTGCATAACTCAACTCAGCCTTAATTATGAAGCTACCACTCCCATGATACTTTGCACTCCCATGACACTTTGCAACTGTATGTTTGCAGATACACCATTTTCTTTTCAGCCAGGGGATTGAAAGAGCCTAATGTTCCAGAAGGCTCATAGTGCTTGCAGGTTGGTGCACATGCCAATCAAAGAAACTTGGAAGAGATTCTAAGTCACTTTTATCCAAAAGAGAGAAAATTCCCTTTACAGCCCTACTGCTGAAAGATAACCCAACATTTAGTGAGGATTCAGAGGATGAATTTGGAAAAAATGTCTCAAAGGAGAGACCACTGCTTGCTCAAATAAAAGAGATGCACATACTGTTACGTAGCTTTTTAAACTGAATAATGTTTATCAACTATTAATTGTCAAAAGAGGAAAAATAATGGCTACTTTCATAGAATCATAGAAGATTAGGGTAGGAAGAGACCTCAGAAGGTCATCTAGTCCAACCCCTTGCTCAAAGCAGGACCAACCCCAACTAAATAATCCCAGCCAGGGCTTTGCCAAGCCGGGCCTTAAAAACCTCTAAGGATGGAGATTCCACCACCTTACTTGATAACCCATTCCAGTGCTTCACCACCCTCCTAGTGAAAAAGTTTTTCCTAATATCCAACCTAGACCTCCCTCACTGCAACTTGAGACCATTGCTCCTTGTTCTGTCATCTGCCACCACTGAGAACACGCAAGCTCCATCCTCTTTGGAACCCCCGTTCAGGTAGTGGAAGGCTGCTATCAAATCCCCCCTCAATCTTCTCTTCTGAAGACTAAATAAGCCCAGTTCCCTCAGCCTCTCCTCATAAGTCATGTGCCCCAGCCCCCTAATCATTTTCATTGCCCTCCACTGGACTCTCCAATTTGTCCACATCCCTTCCGTAGTGGGGGGCCCAAAACTGGACGCAATACTTCAGATGTGGCCTCACCAGTGCCAAATAGAGGGGAATAATCACTTTCCTCGATCTGCTGGCAATGCTCCTACTAATGCAGCCCAATATGCTGTTAGCCTTCTTGGCAACAAGGGCACACTGCTGACTCATATCCAGCTTCTTGTCCACTGTAATCCCCAGGTCCTTTTCTGCAGAACTGCTGCTTAGTCAGTCGGTTCCCAGCCTGTAGCTGTGCATGGGATTCTTCCGTCCTAAGTGCAGGACTCTGCACTAGTCCTTATTGAACCTAATTAGATTTCTTTTGGCCCCTCCAAACCTCCAATTTGTCTAGGGCCCTCTGTATCCTATCCCTACCCTCCAGCATATCAACCTCTCCCCCTAGTTTAGTGTCATCTGCGAACTTGCTGAGGGTGCAATCCACACCATCCTCCAGATCATTAATGAAGATGTTGAACAAAACTGGTCCCAGGACCAAGCCCTGGGGCACTCCACTGGACACTGGCTGCCAACTAGACATTGAGCTGTTAATCACTACCCACTGAGCCTGACGATCTAGCCTGCTTTCTATCCACCTTTTAGTCCATTCATCCAATCCATACTTCTTTAACTTGCTGGCAAGAATACTGTGGGAGACCGTGTCAAAAGCTTTGCTAAAGTCAAAGAACAACACGTCCACCGCTTTCCCCTCATCCACAGAGCCAGTTATCTCGTCATAGAAGGCAATCAGGTTGGCTAGGCATGACTTGCCCTTGGTGAATCCAAGTTAACTGTTCCTGATCACCTTCCTCTCCTCTAAGTGCTTCAAAATGGATTCCTTGAGGACCTGCGCCATGATTTTTCCAGGCACTGAGGTGAAGCTGACCGGTCTGTAGTTCCCCAGATTCTCCTTCTTCCCTTTTTAAAAAATGGGCACTATATTTGCCTTTTTCCAGTCGTCCGGGACCTCCCCTGATCGGCATGAGTTTTCCAAAAGAATGGCTAATGGCTCTGCAATCACATAGCCAACTTCCTCAGTACCCTCGGATGCATTAGATCCGGCCCCATGGACTTGTGCATGTCCAGCTTTTCTAAATAGTCCTTAACCTGCTTTTTCACCACTGAGAGCTGCTCACTGTGCTGCCCTGTGCAGCAGTCTGGGAGCTGACCTTGTCTGTGAAGACCGAGGCAAAAAAAGCATTGAGTACTTCAGCTTTTTCCACATCATCCGTCACTAGGTTGCCTCCCCCAATCAGTAAGGGTCCTAGACTTTCCCTGACCTTCTTCTTGTTGCTAACATACCTGTAGAAACCCTTCTTGTTACCCTTCACATCCCTTGCTAGGTGCAACTCCAGTTGTGCTTTGGCCTTCCTGATTACACCCCTGCATGCTTGAGCAATATTTTTATATTCCTCCCTAGTCATGTGTCCAAGTTTCCGCTTCTTGTAAGCTTCTTTTCTGTGAACTCACTGAAGATTTCTCTGTTAAGCCAAGTTGGTCGCCTGCCATATTTGCTATTCTTTCTGCACATCGGGATGGTTTGTTCCTGCACCCTCAATAAGGCTTCATTAAAATACAGCCAGCTCTCCTGGACTCCTTTCCCCTTCATATTAGCCTCTGAACATTTTATCTGTATGTGGGTGTTTACTAACCTAAACTCCTGGGCAGGAACCCCGCTCCACTTAGGGACTATCTGCCTTGGAAACTAGAGAAGTCTCTGTTCCGAGTCTGATCAGAAGACATATTAAATATTGTACAAAGGTTTTGGAAGGAACATGCACCCAAATCTCACTGAATTGCTACCATTTGATTTTCTGACATCCATTCAGCATAAGCAGCACAAAGATAAAATTGTAATTAAAAAATTATCACTCTGGAAATAATATTTGTACTTCAATTGTCCACTTATAGGTGTAAGTGCTCACCAGTGTAAGGATAGTGGAATTTGTCCCTTTCACACTAATTATGGCAACACTGTGCAAGGCTATAGAGCAGATCCTGAGCCCATGCAAGTCAGCGGGAGCTTTTCCATTGTCTTCAGGGGAAACACTTCTAATTTTCCCTTTGTGCAGATGAGAAGTTTGCTGATCGTATAGGATTAAAAAGAGCTGTTCCCTCAGGGAAAAATGAGTAGTTGATGTGGTTCTGTGGAATTGGTGGCGATCGCTGTACTAGCTTAACCAATCATTTGTAAGCTCCCTCTTCTGTTTATTGGCTCCGGGAAGTAGAGAACATTGAACAAAACGTCACTTGCTTCTATTGATGCTATCTCTTTGAGAGGGAGGGAGAATATACAGAATTAATGGGCCAAATTTATCCCCAGTGTAACTTTATGGATTCCAATGGAATGGATTTACTGTAGCCCACTGTGTACAAAGAATGACTTTGAGAAATGTCTTCATTTAAACATATGGGTATCCCCAAATGTGTGTCCCCCCTCCATCCATTTGATTTGTAAAGCAGCGTTTGTATGTTTCAGTGTGCATGGCTGCCCTGAATGTAATACTGTTTGAGATAGCAATTTGAAAAATCATCATCTTGGGACTGTTCTCATTTCTTTACAAAATAGAAATAATTGTAATCTATATAGATGTACATAACGGGTTGGTTATTAATTAGGCATTCCTTCTCTGATGCGGTTTAACTTGAAAGCAGAGAATTTGTTTCAGTGCTAGTTATGATTACAAATAAACATAAATTAATATTTAGCAGTAAAATGTCACAAACTGCCCAAGTCTTTCAGTTGCTCATGTGGTCCATGGCAGCTCATAGCACGTTCACACACGACTGTCAGATATGACGCTGTATATAGAAATAACGTCAGCCCCAAATATAGCCACAATGAATGTTAACCTGGTTCAAAGTTGGTTAAAGCTTACTGAATTCTTTGAATCAGTGCACCAGTTTCAAAACACATTTTTCAGATGCGTTTTGAGTTCATAATTTGTACCATGTTGCTGTTTACGCTAAGCCACTCTCAAAAATAACACAAAGAAGCAAGTTATTTACATTGGTGCTGTGTAAATTGAGCAGACCAATCCTTCTTTACCAAAAAAAAGAAAAAAAGAAAAAAAAAGCCAGACAGCCCATGCTGAGTCACACAGCCTGTGTCAATGCACCTTAAGAGAGATATCCCAAGGTGGCCTGCTCAGAGTCAGACCTGGTTCCAGTCCCCAGGCGCAGCGGAGAGAACCAGAGGCAGCGAGGTCAGTGGGCTGTGGGTAGGATGCAGCTACTGTACCTTTCAAATCAGATGGAACGGCAGCAGACCTGGTTTCTCCTGTTTCTTTGTTTTGTACGAGACCCCAGTTAATATCACCAGAATTTCATTGATTTAAAAAATAACAATAATTAGTTCACCCAGTTTAAAGAGTAAAATTTCAGCCAGCGGGTTCCCCCTGGATACTTTCATCTTCCTTCCTTGCAGTCTGATTTGCATGGTTATTTCTAGGTGAATCGGATGCCGTCGGCCTGGATGATATGTTTAGTAAGTGCTGGAGTTCCAAACTCCTTGGGTCAGTGGCGGTCATAGGCAGCAGCAGCCGCTGGGGGTGCCGCTCCTCTGGCTGCAGCACTGTAATAATAAGGAGAGCCTGGAAGAGAGAAGATGGCTATGAGGATAACACAGGTCAAAAGGGGGCAGCCTGCCCAACACACCGTGGGCACCAGAGATCTGTCCTGGCTGGAGTTCGACCCACGCTAACATGGGCCTGCAAAGTGGTAGGTACAACAAAAATGCGACAAGACATCACTTTAAAACATTAAATGCCAGAATGCTGCAGACGGCACCTCACATTTCGGTTCTCCTTTCAGTATCTTCGGCTCTGCAAAGAGATCGCCAAGCCCAGACCATTATGGTCGTGTGGCGTCCCAATGAAGTGACTTGGACTCCCAAGGGTAAATGGATCTTTGCTATCAGATCCCCTTGTGGGATCAGGGAATTTGTCTGGATTAGATCTGGTTGGGGAGTATTCAATAAATTTGGAGAAAGGGGTAGGGGGAATTGGCTCTGTGAAGTATCTGTGAATCTTTCCTGGCATTTGTGAATCTATTTGGTATTCGAAAACATTTTTAAACTATCGCAAGTGACTAATGTTTTATATGCTAAGTGTCTGATGATGATATTCTATCAGAGCTTTGAAATTGGTCACTCGAGTCATTAGTGGATCCAATACACCAGGTCTCCATCCAATATGCTAGTTTTCAAATGAATACATGTATTCAGCATTGAATACATATATCCAGCTGAATCAAGCAAGCCAGTTTCAAAGCTTTGCAAACTCAGGAATGCCGAAGGGCTTGAGCGTGTCTGAATCGAATCAAACTCTGGAATTTGCACAATATTAGTGACTGTTTTCTGGCCCCTTAGAATTGAGCATCGCTAGTTGGATTGTCCTTTAAGAATCTAGATTTTTTGTTTGACTGTAGGTGTGGGTTACTTTTTAAGTATATGTGTCTAGACAGGATTGACTATTAGGTAACACAACAGCATACAAAAGGGATGACCAACCCTGCTAGAGTATGAGAAATAGACTTAAAAGGGCTAATTTTCAAAGTGGCTTCATCTTGGCCTCAAACTCGGCATTTTGCATGCCCAAAATTTGGAGCATGCAGTTTTGATCTGAGATTGTGAGTTTACCCACACTGTGGAGAGGGCAAAGACACTTAAACTCATCCCTAGGTCTTCAAGGAATTTGGCAGGTTAATAAAGCCAACGGCATGTCCAGTCGCACCAACCTGGGCTTGCTCCTGAAGACCTGAGCAAGTCTAACCAATCAGCGGTGTCCCCAGTCAGTGGGTGCACCGTGTGTATTACCAGACCTGAGGCTTGAACGACAGTCCTCATAGTCCATTAGCAGTGAGTCTACAAGGTCAGCCAAAACAGTGATTTCTCCTAGCCAACCACGTGGACCTGTGCTAGGCTTCTTACAAAGGTGCTGAGCCCCAATGACTACAGCTGGAGCTGCACGTGCTCAGCACATCAGAGAATCAGACCTTGCATGTACAGATATAGTAAAAAGGGACAGAAAGAACATACCTGCTCCCCCCACCCATGCACCCCCCCGCCCCCACCCATGCCTGCGTACTGTGTTGTACGGGTTAGGTGTCCCCAGCTGTACACATCAGAAATGCAAGAAATTCTGTAGTTAGCTTTGCAGCAACACTGAACTTCCTGCCTGAATTCACAGAGTTTCGTTGAAATTGACAAAGCTGCATGGGGCTTGGGAGGCTGGTTTTGTGGCTTCTGGAGACAGTGTGTGGAGACCTGGGAAAAGCCGTGACATTTCAGGAGCCTGAATGTATAAAGAGATGAGGGGTCTGTCTCTGAGGGCCAGACGGGGCGAGTAGGGAGCCTGGGGAGCTCTTCCCTTCCTAACACCGCAGGGAGGAGGCAACAGCCAAAATCCCTGCACCAATGACAGCTGTCGAGGCTGAGCCGCTCCATTTCGGGAGAGGTCTCGACTCTCAGGGTGTGTCTCTGCTGGAGCCACAGGCATAGTTCCAGCTCAGGCCGGCATACACACTCACACCCGAAGCGTAGCTGGGGCAGCACAGGCCGAGGCCTGGGCTAGCTGGCGGACTACAAGCCCGCAGGTACATCCCACTGCCCACGCTGCTGCGACTACCCTGCTATTTCTAGCATGACCAACACTGTCCTGTTTCCTACTGCTCTCCCTGTTGGACTGTATCTGCCATCCGGGCAGCGGCCACCATCCCGGTCTGCATTAGGCAGCACCTAGCACAATGGGCTCCGAAGCGCTACTGCAATGCAAATGAAATGTAACGTGAACTCCAGCAATGGGATCAGCCAAGCACCAAGCACATGGTGAGCCAGCGCAAGTGGAGGGAGGCCAAACAAAGCAGCCAGCAGGTGCATTCACAGCATGCTTCCTTCTGCCCCAGACCCTACGGGGACCCCTGCCTTCCATGCTTCTGCAGATGTTGGGGCTGCTCCCTTCACATGCTCGGGGATTTTCTCTAGGAAATATCTTTCATCCTGCCCCCCGACACCTCACCGTTTACTGGAAGAACTGCTGCTCATTTCACCTGGATCTATGTGGCGCCTATTGCCACAGTGTCAGACTACAAACGTTAACATAGCTAGCTTCACCCCCTCCTACAGCTCAGGGTTGCCCATTCTTCTTCCGCTGAGTCCTGAGTTCAAGCCCATCTCCATGCCTTCCTTACTTCTTTTTCTCTCTGCATATGCCCCTGCCTGCAGCCCTGCAGTTTCAGCCTTGCTGCTGCTGTTACCAGCAAACCCCCTCACCCAGCAGCCAGGGAAGGGAGTGCAGTGAGACTGGCTGCACACAAGGTGAGCCAACGGAGCCTAAAATAGAATCAGAACGTGTCAGGACACGGTGATCTGTTAACCTGAGGGTGTGCGCTGCCTGTGGTCACCAAGTACCATGATCTCCAATTTACAGCCAATACTTCCATACTTCCGAGCCAACGCAGGGTGTCCAACGTTACCATAACTCTCCTGCTACCCTCCCCAGGCTCAAGCAGTTTAGCCACATTCTCAAAGGAGAGCTGGCCTCTCATCAGAGCAAGAGGCTCTTCAAGACACTGCTCTACGAACACACCAATGCCCATGCCACTGCTTTGTGTCTTCCTGCCTCCTGCATGCCAGGAACTCAACTCAGACTTCCTCACCGGTGCCAGCTGCCCATGTCCAAGCTGCCTTGGCACCGGCCGGTCAGCAAAACTGGAGCTATACTAACATGCCTCAGGGAAATGCCGGCACAAGACACAACCCTGGCCTCAATTACTCTGCACCACTGAGTCTGAGCTTGCAATCCCAACACGGGACGGGAACTGCTTTAGAATGCTCTGAGCCCCGGCGGGTCATCAAATATTTGGGCTGAACATCAATAATGAACAACTGCACCAGGTTCTGTGTTGCTTGCTGACAAGTAATTCCTGGCAGGGCAGCTCCAGCTACTCTGTCAGTGGAGAGCCCAATTCGGGGGCACTGGGTTCAGGACTGTTGCATTACAGAGAAGCTCATTAGACAGCCCACCTTTACCGCCACTTGTGACTGGCAAACCTGCTGCCGAGGAGGTGGGATAGGTGGTGTGGGTTTGAACAGGACTAGCTGGAGAGCAGGACAATGGGTCTGAGGCTGCAGAGGCTGACGTACATGCTTAACATAATCCAATGAGTCATTCCAGTGAAGTCAGGGAGACTGTTTTCTTCTTTAAAGTTCAGCCGCTGTGATCCTATTTTCGCCTCAAGAGGGGAGGAAAACACCGCATTTTCAGCTAGCTTAAACAGACTGTTAATATAGCTCTATGTCTCAAACAATGTAAAAGGTCAGGTGACAAGAAATGGAAGCCATCTTTGTTCCAGAAAGGGTCTGGAGTTAGGACAGAGCAAATATGTATTGTGGGCAAACTCCGGAATAGCCTTTTTAATAACCCAATAGTGAGAAACATACCAGAAGATACCGGTTTAGGGAGGAGGAGGGAGAGGAGAATCAGACATACAGTCGCACTTCTGAATCTTGAGTTCAGTCACTGAGTCTCTCATGGCTAATTATGTTTTACATCGTTCCATGTTCCAAGGTAGAACCGATGTGTTCCACGTTGTAGCTCAAGATGTTTCCGATTAATTTCATTCGCGCGCTCTCTCTGTGAGCATCAGCACAGACGAATAAATAACACTGCCAGTTAGGGGTTTCAAAAATGGCCTATCTTTCTCGGTTCTACATTTCTAATTCAGTGTGTTTACCCGGTGCCGGCCATAAAGAATAAATGTGGCGATAATTAAAAAGATCCTGACAGGTCCCCAAATCTTCTTCCAAATATCTTTTCTGGTGATCACAAAAGAAATGAAGCTGGCATTTTTTAATCACATACACTGTCCATTGTTGGGCCTTTTCTTATTGCCGCTGCAGGACTCTGAAAAGGTATCTGGCCCGCATTCACGAGTTACAGTAATGAGTTAATTTTCCCAATCTGCTACAAGTTTTATATATGCACATATTCAAAGGCACATTATTGTATCATCCCCACTGGCCAGGCTCATAATTATAGGATCGCTAAGGCTTCTGATAACCCATTGAGTCAACAAAAGGCCCCTTTAATTCAAGGTCTGGGAAACGTCCAAGTGACTTCTCCTCACAATCAAGCTAACAGGTCATTCTCCCTAAAAACCCATGACTCTCATAGGAAAGCAGAAGTATATATAGTTGAAAAATATTAATTGGGGGGAGATTTCATAAGCCCCATTTCAAACTTTCTTTTGCTTTCACTGGGCTCTCCCAAGTACTTGCATTTTTCTTTGTTTAAAGGAAAGTACCAGCCCAAAGCTTTCTCAGTTCATGCACTCTACATCCAGCCGCTCTATATGTGATATGGCCTTTTATTACATTGAGTGAATTATTGTCTGATGCTTAAAAAAAGGAAAAAGGATTAATCGCGAAGGGAGAGAGACACAAAGGGAACTGCTGACTGTGAATACAGTGGAGAGCACATCCCAAAGAGGATGTCTGGACATTTGTGTTGGGACTTTGAGGCAGAGGAGACAAAGTCTCCTGTTCATCCCAAACCAATGTGTGCTGGGGGGGGGGGTGGGTCCCAAAGTCAGC